GTGGGATGAGGGAGATAAGCAGAAGAGTAGAAGTGAGAAAACTCGTGGGTTGAGATAGACAGTTTCACAGGTAAAGGCAAAATCCGCACACACAAGTGAAGCAAAACAAGGAATTCATTCACCACTTCCCAGGGCCAGGCAGGCGTTCAGCCATCTCCAGGAAAGCAGGGCTCCAGCATGCTTCACAGTTACTTGGGAAGACAAACACCATCACTCAATGTGCCCCGGTCAGCTGTCCCGGCTGTGTCCCCTTCCAGGTTCTTGTGCACCCCCAGCCTCCTCACTGGTGGGGTGGAGTGAGAAGCAGAAAAGGCCTTGACGTGTAAGTGCTGCTCAGCACTATGGAAAAATATCCCTGTGTTATCAACATTGTTTTCAGCACAAATCCAAATCATTGTCTCATACTAGATACTGTGAAGAAAATTAACTCTATCCCAGCCAAAACCAGGACATTCTGTTTTAGAAATTAAATCAGTGAGCAAACAGCAATGTTAACAGACACTGGTATAAGGAAAGATTGGAACAGCCACAAAGCATGTAACTTGACACCAGCAAAGGTCTTCTTGCCAATTACTTGGGGTTTTATGAGTAAATAAAGGGTGTAAGTGACACTGTGGTGAAAAACCTGGCCCATGTACATGCTGGAGGCACTGAGGTGTTAAGTGTTGGGTTATGTGATAAAAGCTCTTCTGCTTGCCCCCCACAAAGAAGGCAGACACCATGGTGATGGTGGTACAGAGGGACACTGGAGTAATACCCTGCTGCAGCTGCAGCCAGGCCCCCTTACAGGAGCCATCAGCCCATCAAAGGTACAGCTGCACCAGCCCAGGGGAGCAAAGAGGGCCAAGGGCAGGTAGGAACCCAAATTAGTGACTCAGAGGAAGAGACTTGCTGTCCAGGTCCCTCCCAGGGCTGCCCCAAGAGAGCCATAGCCTCATGGTTGAGGTGTGAAACCATCAAGATGAGCTAACAGCTCAGCTGCAGGGCAGATTTAGTGTCTGTCCTTGACTGTTGGAGGGATCCACACTGTGCATAACTATATCCAGATCTCTATGTTTACAGACATATCTATATGCATAATTGTATCTTTGTATCTATAGCTATACATATTTTTGTACCATCCCATCCCCATGAGGCTACTGAATTTGGCAATTTACAATAAGTACTGGGATTGCCCCATTAGGATAAACTGTAAACAAGTAAATTATCTTCCAGATTAAAGGACAAGAGCCCCTAACAGGTCTGCTGCTGTGCTTGGTCTTCTTGTAGAACAGTGTACCGAAATCAAGGATTCAAGGCAGTAAGAAATGAGGTTTGTGACAGGAATCCTGGGTGACTGGATGAGTTGGTGTGGCTGAAGAGAGAAGCTGATTGACTCTCACTGTTGGTTTGTCATTGTATCAAGCCTGTGCCTCATGAGCACTGGGGACCTGAGGCTGATGTCCCAGCCTTGCCCATCCCCATGGCCCCGGGGCCATGTCTGACCCTGGTCACCCTCACAAGGCCTGATCTTGATGCTGACCTTTACCTGAGGACAGACTTCCCACTAGGCTTGTTACTAGGAATTTGCCTGGTAATCTGTGCTCATGGTTGGACCTGGTGACAATCTTCAGGTCCACCCTGCTTCCCTTGCTCCCGAGGGGTGGGACTGAGCTCCAGCTGGCAATGCCTCTGTTCCCGCAGCTCCATCACTGCTCATGGTTGCGGCTGCAGCTCAGTGCTTGGGAGGTACCTCTAGGCCAGACCTGAGTGATCCCAGTCCCAGAAGCCACCATCAAGTATATCTTCCAGGTCTCCAGAGCTAAAGCTGTGGCTGAAACAGGGCTTCTTTTGCTTCACAAGATTCACTCGAGGTGCACAACTGTACATTCAAAGCAATTGGCACCTATGCCAAGGCAACAGATATGCAGCCCTGCACTTTGTGTGCAGAACAGATTATGTCTGCACAGACCCCTTCACAGACAGAGGTTGCCTCATGAAGGGATAGTCAGCCTTTGGCAAGAAGTACCCCAAAGATCCCCATCTGTAGCTGTTTCTTCAGTTGAACATCCTTGGCTTCCTATTGATAGTGTATCTGCACTGAAAACTGGCAAGCACTTCAGCATGCCATTATAATCACATCTCTGCATTCTGTTTTCAAGTATCATTTAGCCAATTTCTCCATGACAAACTTGAAGACACCAAAGCTGCCGAGACTGCAGCAGGAGCTGCCTGGCTGGCTGCAAGACATGCAAACATCATTCTGCCTCTATATAAACTGAATAATATAGCATGAACAATAGCTTGCTACAAAAACCCCCACCATATTATCTGTTACTGAAATAAGATCCCTAGTTTTAATAACATTGGAGGGCACTGAAGGCTACACATAGACATGTACTGGTGCATTCAGGGCTTTAAAGAATGCACTTTTCACATGGTCTTTCCCTTTTTTTTTATAGCTCTGATGCTCCAGAGCAGCTGGAGTGGTGTAAAACACAGAACTAGGATTCACTGCTGTTATGAAACCTCATGCTGCAATTCCAGTATAAAAGCCATAACTGCTCAGCATTGAGGTTTTCTCTGGTGATGGCAGACTAAGAAAGGAAAGATTTTTTTCCCCCTGTATATCTATCTGGAATGGCCTCAGACTTCAGTTTCACCAACAATGTAATTTGACCATTCAGGACTGAATCCAGACTGTTAATCTCTTTTTACTAATACCATGTAAGACATCAGGCATGTGAAAGAAATTCCTTCATTTAGAAAGATGAGAAGACAGGAACAATAGTATGAATAAAATTATATAATACGCTGAAAAGCAGACAATGGCTGCAGCCAAAAGTGTGAGATAGAAGCAACTGGTGACTGTGTTTTGCATTACAAAGGAGAATGCTGAAATGAAATGACTGCCATGGCCTCACCAAGACCATCAAGAGGGTCCCCCCCCCAGTGACACTGGAGATGGGACTTTAAAGTGAAGGAATTGATGGGACTTCTCTTTACCTCCTCAGCCCCCACCCCCTTGTAACTGCTATCAACTCCTGTTATGCCAGATGCCAACGCTGAATTTCCATTCTGCTGCTCCACCAGCCAAGAGCTTTCCTCGCTCACTGACAACCAGCAGCACAGAGCAGATTAGGAACTGTCCTGGTTCAGCTAGGATAGGGTTAGGTTTCTCCAGCAGAGAGGGGGAAGGGATCTCCAGCCAGGTTATTCATACCATGCTGAGGTCAGGTCCCGCACAGCAGTGCGGGAACTTTTTCCTTTGTGGCTTCGGTCCGGGAAAACACGTGCAGCAGGCTGTGTTCGCTGCAGTATTTCTCTGTATTTACTGTTATTACTGTTTAATGTTGTTATTATTGCTATTGTTGTTGTTCAGATTGTTTATTACACTGTTGTATTAAATTTCTTCATATTTCAACCTGGGGTTTGTGCCCTACTTATGTCTGAGGGCGGGGGAGGGACAATGGCAATGTGGTCTCTGGTCCCGACAGGGCTTAAACCAACGCAGGAACAAACTTGAAAAGAGGTCATGTCTGAGTTTATCACAATGACAACACAAAGTGAAGGCCAAGATGTTCCACAACAGCTTTCTCTGTGGAGAGACACTAGAAAGTACCAAAAGCTGAACTTCTCTGTGGCTGTTCTGGTGCAGGCCAGAAAAATTTCTTAACACCTTTTCCTCTGCAGGCCACAAATTGATCAGCTTCGAAGGGGAACCAAACCTGTGGGATTTGCCAGCATTTCATGGCTACCAGAAGCTCACCCACTACCTTCTGCCCAGTCTGGCCATTTGCCCGGCCTCCAGGACAGGCTGAAGATGCAGCCATGAACAGAGCTGAAGGGCGCAGAGGAGAGCTCTAGAGAGTTATATGGTCAGGGAAGGGAAACAATAAAACAAAGACATATACTAAATTACAACGTTTATTAAATATCAAGTTGAAATTGAATATCTGGAACACAGTATATTAGCTTCACATAAATGTATTCATATAAAAAAAGAACTGTCACAGCAGCATTCATTGCTTTTCTCACTACCTGTTAACTCAAGTCCTTGAATTAGTGGACAGAACCCTCGAACCCCCCAATTTTTCCAGTCTTAATTCATCTCACTACAACCATCCTTACTTTTCCAGAATTGGGGCTTTGTTCTATAATCTTCTGATTGCTAGTGACTTTTGCAGCTAGGAAACAACAAAGGCAGATCTTCAGTAACAACAGGTAACTAACTCCCTGCAATATATAAAACTGCTTGCTTTACTGACCGTGTCACACAACACTTGCTAACATCTGGGCTACAGCCACCATATCAGCTGCATCACCTGCCAGCAGCAACAAAAGGATTAGCTCTCCTGTCAGTGAAGTTTTGGAAAGTACTGAGGAGACTGAAAGTTGACACATTAATATTCCTTTTTTCCCCCCTCTGTGAAGTGTTTCAGGTGTACCACAGGTATTGATGTAGGAACTGCAAATGTCTAAAGCTGCAGCAATTTGGAATAGAAAACTTAACATGAAATCCATGAGGGGCAACAGGCACAAACTGAAACACAGAAGGTTCCCTCTGAACATTAAGAAACACATTTTTATTGTGAGGGTGACCGAGCACTGGCACAGGCTGCCCATTGGAGGCCATGGAGTCTCTGTCCTTGGAGATACTCAAAAGCCAGCAGGGACCTGGGCAACCAGATCTGGGTGGTCCTCGTTGGGCAGGGGGGCTGGATCAGCTGACCTCCACAAGTCCCTTCCAACCTCACCATCCTGTAGTTTTGTGACACAAAACAAACATACCAAAAAGACCACATAACAACTTTCTTGGCACTACTACACACTCACAGTGATTTTCAACCTAAGATGCATAAAGTGACAGCAATGTAAAGTGCCCTATTCTCCAGCATAAACACTGGTAAAACTTCTACTTTATCAGCAGAAATATTCACTGCATCAGGACTGAAGCAGCAGGCTCAAAGCGCATTAAATAATTTGCTAATCATGAAAAGAACACTGGAAACATTAAAAATACAGAGTGAAAAGATAAAAAAAAGGGAATGCTTTTGTTAAAACACAGAATGTGAGTGGAGCAAATTAATGCATCTACTGTAGTAAGTGGCATTGGGGCAGTTCTGTCAAGCTCAAGAATCAAGTTTAGTCAATCTGCTAGTCAGAAAGAATAGATATGGTTCTTACTGTGAGCATCAAAGAACTACGCAACAATAAACCAATAGGCAAGTGCAATGTGCTTGACATCCACTTAATAGAATTTATATTCAGACTGCAATGAACATGTTTTCACACCTGAACCATGGATGGGAAATCACTGACGTACAACACGAACAAAGTAATTTCCAGAGCCTTTCCCTAGCATTTTGTTCAAATCAGGTAATTTTTGGTTAAAACATCATGGTACTCCTGTATTGCCCTGCTAAGGGGATCCTGGTCAATGTGGAAATGTTTTGAAGATCCGTCAGTGGATACCACGGGAGAAGCTCTGGCAGATCGAGTTTCAAGTTCAGCAGTGGCTAGGGAGAAAGACACAAGATTCCTGGTGTTACTTTTACAGTAGACAGGCCCAGATAAGTCCCTGTGAAAAACATTATGGGTGGCTGGAGAGACAACAGTCCAGAAAGAGATTGAAAAACTTCCAGGGGAACGGAACAGTGAAGGGGCTAGGCACAAAGGAAGAAGCACATTTTTTCCACATTTGCTTATCAGGCAACAGTATTTCTAAAGCTAGTCAAAGACATTCCAGAGGCTATCCACTGAACATCTTCATGGAACCCACAAATGACTCCTGCCTACGCCAGTGCTAAATTTAGCCCTCCGCAGAAGTCTTCAACCTCAGGGGTCTGTTTTCCTCAAGTATTCAAGCCAGTGATGTGCTGGAACACCACTCCTAAAAACCAGCTTCTGCATTTGCTGTGAAAACTTTGGAAGAATCTGCCTGTGAAGAGGCAAACCCACTTTGCACTGCAGTCAGGGCAGGACAAGTCTCCCAGCCTCGCACCTTCTCTCACCCTGGCAAACCCCTTTTACCTCCATAAAAATACATATTGAATGGAAGGAAACCCGCCTTTGCCATCTTTCTCCGGCCACCCTTTCCCAGACAAGGTCCCCAAACCTACCAGACTCTACGACTCCTCGCAGATGTGCACTTATGTTCAAAACACACATGGGTGCAGGGCAGTGGCCTTGTGTCCCTTTGGGCACGTGGAAAGAGCTATGAAGCTACAGCTGAACACTCTGTACGGTTAAAAGCATAAGGGAACAGAAGGAAATCCTCCCAGGGGCTACCTGCTTTGAAATAGCACCAGTCACTGGCAAAGCAGTGACTGTGGATGAACGATGATGGTGAAACAGGTGGAATTCCTCTTTGGACACCTGGCCTCATATTCTAGAAGATGCTTTAAGCTATGTATTACAAGCATTCCAACTCATGTTTGCCTAAACACTACTGAATGCTCTTTTCCTAAATAAGGGATATCTTTTGTCACCCACTGAATTCTCACTTATTCAAAGAAGACTGCAACATATCAGATACAAATACAAGCAATGAATTAAGAGACATAGCAAAAGGAAGAACCAAAAATAGAGGAGGTGTGTGGTATGGTCTCGTGTGGAATGCAGTTGATGTAGGTGGGAGGAGAAGCAATGGCTGAGGTCTATAAAAATCTTATCTCAGGGCTTCTTTTATGTTTGATGTTTGTGCCTGAGGATTCACTCTCATGAAAGGTGACTTCAGCTTAAGCCAAGTGTATCTGTGTGGGGGAAACGGGTTAGTGTTCTCTGTGCCTGGCTATTTTCAGGCAACTGCATAACATGCTCCACAATGTTTTGGTAAGCAGGAAGTTTTTGCTTTTGAGTCTAAACTGGAGAGCTAGCAGAAAAAACCCTGCACTTAGCACAGGAACTTGATGGTTTTTGAGTCAATGTTTTCAACTTAGGAACAGTCATCTTTTTCCTTAAAAATGCTCCTAACATAATGACACATTACCTTCTTGAAGTTCTTTTGTGATTTTTTCATCCAGTTCCTGCCGTATCTAGAATTATAGAGAAAACACACAGTTAATATTTCAACAGTTACATTTTTGTAAAATTAAAAGTCTAAAACATTATTAAAACCCACACATAGCGTGTGACAAAATCTAAAGGCACCATCCCAAATAGAGACATCTTGGTTTGGGGTTTTATTTTTGATGAGGAGAAACTCGTGGTCAGCCAGGCTGTAACATTCTTATGGCTGATCAGCATTAGCTGTAGCCCAAAACACTGTAACTCATCAGCTAGATTATAACTGGGCATTTAAAACTACACAGGAAGAAGGCACAGTGGAGTTATTACAGTGAGGGTATGGCTAAAGTCCCTCGCCAAATACATGAGCAGAATGACAGCTATGTGCTGCGACACACAGATGTCATTCATAGGGACAAATCTACCTGAGACTGGCTTCTGCAGCGTCACAAGAGAAGAGGTGCAGAATTAGCTACTGCAGGACTGACATACGCCACTGTATAGAAAAAAGCCTGCGCCAGTATTTCCCCCTCCACCTTAAGCTGGAAAATTGAAAGAGCTCCTACAGATCACGCCAAGATTTTTCTTTCTTGTCATTGCAAATACCATGACTCGTGTATATAAAAATACAAAATCACACGCAGTATTTTCTTGCAAACTTTGGACTATGAAAAGATAGCAACAGCTACACAGCAAATGCTGTGGGTTTTGTTACGTAACTGAAATCACCTTAGATTACTAGAAAGTCCAAGCACTATATGCTGCTGTTCACATTTGGTGATACTTGTGACTCCTACATTTTTTTCCATCAAGTCTGTGACCCACAGAAGTGAATTTCAAAAGAGATGCTATACATCTTCCAGGCCTGTGATGGCCACGAAGATGCTGAAGGACTTGGAGCCCGTGAGCTGTGTGGAAAGGCTGAGAGAGCTGCGACTGTTTCTTTACTGGAGGAGAGAAAGCTCAGGGAGTCCTTATCTATGTGTATAAATACATGGTGGGGGGAGTAAAGATGGTGGAGCCAGACTCTTATCAGTGATGCCAAGTAAAAGAAGAGGAATGCTCACAGACTGAAATAGAGGACATTTCATTTTAACATAAGGGATTTTTATTTCTTTTTTAAATTACAGGCATGGTCAAACAGTGGAACAAGTTGCCCAGGAGAAGTTGTGGAGTATCCATCACTGGCGATATAGAAAACCTGACTGGACATAACCCTAAGCAACCTGCTCCAGCTGACCCTGCTTTCAGCAGGGGTGGAGTTGAACTAGATGATCTTCAGAGGCCCTTCCACCCTCGTATGGTCTTTGATTTTAGTACTGAATCCCTGGGGCATGCATACCCTCACAAGAGGAACAGTAACAGGCAGTAACTCTAAGGGCCAAAGACGTGGGGCCATAAACCAGCAAAGTGGAGTGAAGGGCCCTCTCTCCAGGACTACAGGGATAGTTATGACCAAATTTACCAGCTCCTCCAGGAAAAAACACCACCCAGTGGTACTTCGATGCTATAGCCTGTGCGTTCAAAGCTAGGTGAGGCAAGTAGAACCAAAAGAACAATGGAAAAGGACCCCCAAAATCTTTTTTTTTTCAAGCAGGTACAAGCGGCAGCAAAATCCAGGGGAGAAGGGACCCTCTAACACATGAAATGAGACATAGGTAACACAACAAAACAAAAATAAAAGGAAAACTAATGCTTGGATGAAAAGATGACCCAAAACCAGGGCCAATCCTTATCAAAGCAGTAGTAGTTGAGGTGTTAGAGGAAACCACTTTCCCTGGTTTCTGGAGCCTTCACAATGACCAGAAGGTCCACAGGACCCTCTGCAACATCTGTGGATGAATCAAGAGAAGAAAAATATCTTCTCTTCCTCTCAGTCATTGCATTAACATCTTAGTGATTCTCATCTATGCCTGAGGAAAGAAAAACAGGTGGAAAGAAAGCCAACACAGATTTCTGAAAAGGGAATGAAGAGCCAGGTAAAATACACCTTTGAGGACTATAACTTGCCTCCAGTATTCTCTTTCTCCTCAAACCCCTAGAAAAGGCATCGCAGCTGACTATCCCAAACCTCCTGAGCAGGTATTTCTCATCTAACTGGACATCTCTTTAGGCAGTAACATACTGTGTTCCCTTGCAGCAGTCACATTCTCACTAATTCTTTTTCAGAAAGCAGTGTTGACTTGCTACTTACCCACATGGGTTGCCTGAGCACAGAGTAAGTTGGAAGCTTTAAGACTCCATGAGATGGTACTTAAAGAGTCTAGGAACTCAACTTCAGAACAGCACTGGTACTCCAGGCATAACTGCTGTTACTACCAAGAACTTTTTGAATGTCAGAACTGGCAAGGAATGTAAACCAGCTTACTTATAGAGTTTAAAGAAGTTCTATTATAGCAGATGAAATCCATACACTGTCATCTTACAGACAGATACCACATAAGTCATACTACTACAAATACATAAAGCATGGAAGTACTGTGCAGCAGTCATTCTTTCACTGGGACAAACTAACAAGTTCTAAATATTTGCAGTATCAGGAAAATGTGAATGCATCAGTAAGTGTTAATCAAACCTAACAGCATAAATAGACAAAACATCTCCAGTATAAAATACCACCCAACATTAAACGATACGGGCTACAAACCTTGTCATGTATCTGGCTGCAGGGAAGAGAAAGAACAGATTTGTGATTAAGGAGCTGAAGAAGAGAGAAAAACAGCCTTAAGTTCAAAGGTCTTCAGTGAGAAGTAAGAACATGGCTTACGTCTAAGTGAAGCAAGTAAAAAATCTAACAATAGAAAGACTGCTACAATACAAGAGTGCAGATGGAAAATGAAATCAGAAAGGTACAGAAATTGAGAGACAGAGTAGGAAGCAAACATTCTCTTTTTCATGTTATGTAGGAAAACTGGTTTCATAAATCCACTAATTCACACTGGTTGCCGCTAGCACAGTTCACTTATTTTTTTGTGTCAAGACACTAACATTCATTTTGACCCGCCTTTAGCACAGCTGTTGGGATTTCAGCTTGATATTTGATAAACCTAACAACAGGACTCCAGTCCCAAAATCTCCTTGCAGCAGATATTCCTTGCCTTAGTCTATGGACTAAGACAACTAACAGTAGTAAGAGGTATTAAGACACCACTAACGGTACCTCATGTTTGTGTTTCAACTGCTTGATTCAATTTAGTTTTGGATAGTGACATGTCAATTCATGAGCAGTTTGGGAGTCAGTAGACGAAATTATAAAAAGAAAGACCCCATCCAAGATCTCTTTACTCCTGTGAAAGACAGGCAATACACACGTACATCCTTCTTATGACACAATTCCTACTATGAAACAAATTTCAGCCAAACTCCTTCCTCCTTAATGAACTGCTAGTTGCTACAGTCACTGTAAGTAGATGCACAGAATTTTTCAAGTACTTGTAATTTATTCCTCATTACTGGAGCTCTAATGAAAATAAAAACTACCAAAAAACCCCACAGGCATTTGCATGTGATTGGGATTTTACTGACTAATGAGCTTGTGTCAGTATGAACTTTTCTGTTTTTTTCAAGATACTTTTGCACTTCCATGTCAAGGTTATTAATTTCTGCAGCATATATATATTTGATAAGGGGGAAGGGTCTATACTGTAATGAAATACATTTATTTTTTTAATAAGAATAAAATGCTCATTTTTTTCTGAGCTTGCAACATGAACATCTGCAAAATATGCATAATCATTGACATTTGTGTCTTGTGCTAAGCAGTGGTTTAGGAAAACTGCGAAACCCTTCAAGCCTTTAAACTCCAAATTCCTTCATTATGTCTAAAAGAAGCAACTGTGTCCACTTACCAAAGAAGCACTTTTTCCTCTTGTATCAGCATCATTTACCAATTTTGTTCCAACAGTTACATAGACAAAGAATTAATATCAACATTTTTAATAATATCAGTGTGAAGTTATTTTCACTTCCTTGCCCCTGAAGCTCCTCCAAAGCTTTTGCACAAACCAAAAGTTACATAAACACCTTCCTCTTAAGAATGGCATGTCCTCTACTTCAAATAGCCCTTCTCACCTTGAGGAAGCTACTGTGAGAAACACCAAATCTGCACAGAGAGTTTGGACTAAAAAAAGAACTGCAAGACGACTACCTGAGGCACACTGCAATTTAAGCTCTTTAACTTCCTGTCATTACAAGCTTTAGTGCAGGAGCATTTGTAATCTCCGGTCAAGAAGGCACTGCTCAGCTTGAATTTAAAGGCAAGACAAATTCTGCAGATGGGAACCAGGTTACTGTAAAAAAGTCTGAGGCATAACTGAAGCAAACAGTGGAGTGAAGAAAGGGCTTAGAGTCACAGAAACTCTTCTGTGTTTAAATAAACTGGTGAACAGGCAGAGTACTGAGCAGAACAACCGACAAAGCACTTCAAAAAAGACTAAAACTGTCATCTCTGAATTCTTCCCTCATGCTCCAACTTGTCTCTGGAATGACAATGGACTCCTGCAGAAATGACAGCACAGACAGTGCATCTGGTAATTCTGCATTTGGAAACAGATTGCAATTCACCAGCTGTCATTGTATGCAAAGGGATACATGCACTTTTTCTCTTTTGTTACCTCCTAACTTAAAGCCCTATTTTCCAATTCGATCCACACACGTCAGCAATCCTTACTTTCAGTTCCTCAGAGATACAGTATGGATTCAAAGACTGTTAATGGCATACTGCACCCAGCTGAGGAAACTTAAGCCACCAGTTCTGAGTGAAAAACTCTCTTAGATACATGTCCTCCAGCAACTACCCCACCTCTGAGAACACTCTTTTTTGTCACTGAAGAACTCTGAAAGAGAAGACCAGGTTTTAGACTATGCAGAAGACAATGAACATTGAGTGACTGAGGTTACAGACAGTGACATTACAATTAGTCTCACTTGTTCCGTGAGTGGTGATTAAGAGGAGGAAGCAGTATCACAGAAGGATGTGCAGCTGGATTTACTAACAGGAAGGAAAAAATGACAGCACTAACTCTGAGTCTCAGAAACCAGCCTTCTGTTTTGACGGAGGGAAAACAGGCATGCTGAGATTTACAGCTTTTTCTTAAGATAACCTGGTAGAAATGGTAAAAAACGGGTAAATTCTCTGAGGATTTAGCAATGGTTTTATTCACCTTCATTCCAGGAAGAGAATTTGAGAATATCTAATACTGTATTAGACTTAAAAGCTAATCCCAAGAAGACAATCTCTGTAGAGCAAGAGCGAATTATCCTCTGTTGGCAACAAACTAAAAGTCTCTGTCGGTTGTAAACAAGACCAGAGAGGACTTCAGGGGACTAAGTCCTACTGACAAAACTGCACTAGGCAGGAGAAATGCAGGTATACATGAACGCCCCCAAACTACAAACAAAACCCCGTCAGGTGACATCCGTAACTGGAGATCGGGGCAATGTCAAACCTAATTGTTCTTCAACTTCCTTGAGAGCCTGCTCAAGGCTGAGGGGTATTTTTTGGTTCTGTTTTTTCAGATCTTCAAAGTGAGGCCTCAAAAAACAGCACCGAAACCTAAAAGCATTCCCCAGCACAGCGATCCGTCACAAAATGCGAGACATACGCTCTGAAAAGAAACCTTATGGCTTCTGTGGAAGTCAGGGCACTGAGCGAGAACAGTAACACCACTCTCAGATCCAAGGCAAGCTTTTCTTGCAATCACCTCAAGTGTTTTTCACAAGTAAATTTGGGAGCCATTTTTCACAAAACGTTGAAGCAGCCTGTACAAGGATTTGAAATAGATTTCTGAATACATTAGCAAATGGATAAAAA